CTGGAGAAGGGGACTTCTATGGACTGTAGAACAAACATCTGACCTGGAGGAAGGACAATCAAGTTCTTCCTTAGAGGCAAAGATAGGGAAACTGGGTCTCAGACTTTTGGGATGTATCAGGAGGGGCTTGGGAATAGAGATATTGCTGGGAAATGTGGAGGGTCAGAGGAAGAGAGGAAGACCTTCAGCAAGATGGACTGACTCAAACAACGCGATCACACACGTGGGACAGCGAGAGGATGGCAGAGGACAGGGCAAGGATCAGATGGAGTTGTTCACAGGGTTGGTGGGGGTCATCCTTGACTCAACAGCATATAGCAACAGTTAGGGAAGGTAAGATACAAGAGAACTAGTCCCAAGTACCTGTGGTACACTGCAAATGCCTGATTAGTATCTGATAAAAAAATTCTCTTTGAAAGACTTGGAGAAAGGATACAGGCAGCCCTTGTTTACAAATGAGGTCCATTCGTGTGTCTTTCAGTCATTAAGTAGAATTTGTGAGTCTGGACAGGTGAATATTTTGCTTTACTTGAGTAAAAGAAAAGGCTCAAAGCCTTTTCAACACTTGAGAATCTCCAAATGCAGCAAGAGGAGGTGATCTGTTCCAAGCGGAGGCCGATTCTACCACTCCACCTCGCTTGCTGACGGTCAGTTTTGACTCCTACAGAATCTCCATCAGGTCCCCAAGGCTGTGGATCTTAACGGGACGAAAGCCCCTTCTTTTTCTCATGAAACTGCTGGGGGATTGAAGCCTCTCATAGATTTGAGCCGATCACTGGGGACATGGAGCCCTTTGGTTAGACTGTACCAGCAGAGCAAGTGCTCTCATCATTCCAGAGAATAGTCTGAAGAAGGCTATGACTTGGTTTGAGAGCTTGCCGGGATCTGCATTACCAACCTAGACACACTGAATTAGCATCTACATTTTAACACGTGTATACATAAGAATCACCTGGGGATCTTGGTAACATGTAGATTCTGAATCAGTATTGCTCTGAGATGGAAAGGTAAATTCTCAGAGTTGAACTGGATTGAAGCCTTGAAGTTGATACAATGCTGAAGGACAAGAAGTTGTCTGTAATGTGGGGACTGCCCCTTATCGTATGGGGGGGGGGAATGTACCCTAAGTTCAACCCAGTCTCAGCTGAACCTTCCCAGTGAGGAGTGGTTTGAAAGAGGTTGTGACTGATGGCAGATCTTGTTATTCCAGGGAAGGGAAACACTCTGCTGATGTCTGCTGTGTTGCTGAGACTCTAAGAGCTAATTAATGGCTGTTGTCTGCTTCCATAAATGATCACACAGCTTAAATGAATGTGATCACCACCTCAAATTCTTTGAGACATAAGTTTGAAACAGTAAGATAAAGAGAAGGAAAGAAAATTTTTACTTCTAATACCTTTTATTTTTATAAAACATGTCCAAATAAATTTGTGTGTAATTGTCCAAATTTACATGCCTTTCTAGAAGAAGGCAAGAATCATGTATTACTTTTTTAAATATTTTTAGAGGAAATTACCACCAAGGCTGAGGAAATGAATTTCCATAGGAAATTAATGGTAGTGATGTATCGGGTCACTTTTTATGCTCCTCAGGACAAGCCTACCTAGTGGCAGCATTTGACGTAATAGATGAGACAAATACAGGCAAGAAGAGGTATCAGCGATGAATTTGTGTGGGAATGTGGGATCCAGAAGGTCAAAAGTTGCATTTCTTTATTAGAAAGTTCTCTAACGGGCACTGGTGGTCAGGAGCAGCCCCTAAGGCACTCTGTAGGCACTGATTCTGTAAGCCAAGAACATTACCACTTTAATACAGAAAAGATACATGAGAAACTGGAATTCTTTGATTCTGATTCTGTTCTCAAGAGAATTTCACTGGCTTGACAACCAGAAATCTCTACATTCATATGAGTAAGTAAGAAGGGTTCCAGATGAATTTTGTTAATGATACAAGCCTTATTAACAAAAACTTCAATTGTTCAAAAATAATAAACTGGAAATTAAATTCTTAATTCTGACATTAGAGTTTCATAAACAAGCTGGATTTATTCTGAATCTTTCCTTGACCTTAGATACTATATAAATCAAGGGCACTAAGAAATGGCCACCTACTACCAGCCCCACTGAAAAATGTATGAATGAGCTAAGAAATTTTTTTTTAAATATAATATAGCAAAAAATCGGAGCTGCTGTGAGAAGCAGTGCTCTTTAGGGCTAATCCCTTCCTGGCCAGATGTAAAATATAAGGGAAAAAATGAGGACGCTGATATAGCCTATTATTCAGGAGAAAGAGAACCATTCCACAATGGGACCTTCCTAAGCTCACTGCCATCACAGCTGACCCTCCAGCGGGTTTCCAGAGGCTGTAAATCAATGGGAGGAGCCCACCTAGCGGCTGTTGCATTAGAACCGCCTGCCTTGAGTTGGCCGCAACTGTCCATCCACTAGGCCACCAAGAGCGTTGTTCAGCAAGAGAAAGATGGGCAATCTTCGGTGCAATTACACTCTGAAAGTGCATGGGAAGGTCAGTTATGAGTCTGTTTCAACTTGACAGTAATGAGGGGAGTGATTTTTCCCTTAGGAAGAAGACTATGCAGCTGACTCAATCAGCTACTACCCAAAAGCTCGGAGGTTTAAGGACACCCTGCCAAAAAGTGCTTCAGAAGAAAGGCCTGGTGACCCACTGAAAAATGCAGATATTGTGAACCCTAAGGAGCACAGCTTGACTCTGACACATGAAGTCTTCATGAATTGAAGTTGGCAGCAACTAGTTTTCAGGAAGATTCTACTGAGAAGAAGCCAATGGAAAAGAGTTATTTACCATTACTCAGCAAAACACAATGGGCCAAAATACTTTGGGTTAATATTCAACACATGAGGAAATAAAGCAGCAAGCATCACCATCAATATCGCACTTCTTCATGTTCTTTCCTTTGTGGAGAACCCAGTCCCAGATGTCCTAGCTGCAGAGGTCCTTTTAGCAGCTCAGAAACGAACCTGGCTTCTATTACTGCTTAAATGTGCTCAGCAACTGTCAGTGGGTTGAGGTCCAAGGTTTAAAAGTGTTCAACACTGGAAGGAAAATATTTTCTTTTAAAAGGAAAAAAAAATGTAGAAAATAACACACCAGTTTTCTTGACTCCTAACCTATGTGAATACAAATACAGCAATTAAGAAACACACCCATGGGGAAAAATTCTTTACTTCACTAATCTCATCTCCCTCCGCCCCCAGTTATTAACCAAGGTACATCAAACCCCTTAAAAATGTCATTCTCTATCTTGGGCATTAAAACAGAGAACATACACTGCATCAGAGAGCTGTAACAGACAAACACACACACTTTCAGGTCTTTTTTTCAAAGATAATGTTATTATGTTCTAAATAGTATTGCTTTAGGGAGATTTAATTTTATAAAAAGAAATGTCAAAAAGAAAGCACATTTAAAACATTATGTTTGGGTGATCAGGGTAGGTAAAGTAATTTTATTATAAATTTCCGGGCCTAAAAAGTAATTTGTTACACTTCCTAGGATAAATGTGAGATGACTTTTTGTACCACACACATGTGCACTGCATAGCGACCCTGGTCCTCAGGCATGAAAGGACACAGTTCCGCCACTTTTTAGGGATGGGGTTAGCTGATGAAAGAAAAGTATGTGGACTCAAAACTAACATACACTGATTAGGCTCATTTTGGTTTATCTCTGGCATGTAGGGTGTGAGAAGTTCCAGCCAACAAGGCTCCACTGTTGAACTCTGATAATCAAACTAGAATTCTGAGGGGAGCTTCAGTTTTAAAATGGAAGACTTTCTTATTCCACTTTTGATTTTGACGATACTTAAATTATCTGTATTTAATAAGAGTTAGGATTCAAATTATTCTGTAAACCATCTGAAAATCCTTACCACATGGCATGAAACCCAGAGAGGCTCTATATGGCCAATTCTAAGACTGAGGCGAGATAAGAGGACAAACATACTAGTCTAAGGTCACAGACAGTTACTGTCCAACAGCACACATGCTGCTGGTGCAAGATAACCAGAAGGGAAGTGACCACAGACAAAAGTGACCACAGACCTCCTCCTGCCTCTAAACAAGACAAATGTCTCTCTCTGCCTGGGGTCTTTTCACCCTTGGCACTTGTAGGCAGGGAACTCTAGATCTCTTTTATTCTGTTTTTAAGTTTACGTTTCAATTTTTAAAAGATTCCTAAAGGCAGCATCTTTACAAGGTGAGTATGAGCAGAAGTACAGAGCAAGCACTCCCACGGGGTCTCGGAAGGAATCTGGGGTGAAGAAGAGCAGTGCAGTACCTGAGAGGCAGCTGAGACATAAGGGAGAACACCCTCATGCTACAGGACTAGAAATGTGGGGGAGAGAAGAGGAGCCAAAAAGAGCGGCTGCAAAACTCAGCCTGTTCATGAGGAAAGACGCCACTCCAAGGAGAGGACAGCTGCAAGCTAGCAGCTCAGAGCCCACAGCTGAGCCCTTCTCCCTCAGGGTCTCCTGTGTTAACCCTCTCCCTCTAGACCAGGAGCTCTCAAAATGGGATAATTTGCCCCCCAGGGGACATTTGGCAATGTCTGGAGACATTTTTGGTTATAACTGAGGAGAGGCAGTGGGAAGGGTTCTACTGGCATCTAGTGGTAGAAGCCAGAGATGTCACTAAATATCCTCTAATGAACAGGACAGCCTCTTATAACAATGAATTGTCGATAATGGCAAGGTTGAGAAACCTTGTTCTAGAGGGAGCACTTTACTTATGAGATACTGAATCTCCCAAGAGCCCAAATACCTGGAATTTATATAAAAGAAACGCAAAACTCCCTTTACCTCAAACCCTAAAGTGTGGATCAGTCCACTGCCTTGTTTTAGCATAAGCTCCCAATTATCCCAGAGTGTTCCTCAAATGTCCAATCAGCTGCCGGTGGTTCAAACTTCAGTCAATACAACTAGAACTTAGATCCTTTTCGTCTTCTCTCTCTTCAGAAAAAATCTGCTATTTCTTTCTCAGAGCCAGCGTTACCCCAACTGCCACTGCTAGGATGGCAACAGCAGCTGCTCCTCCAAATAGCAGTATAGACTTGCCCTCGGGCAACGGGATGGACTTCTCTTCTCCAGGGAGGGGGGCCTCTTCCGTCACACTCTCTCCTTCACTCAGCAGTGCTTTTGTGGGCTCCAGGGCAGGGACTACCACCTCCTCCAGTTTAACAGGCTCATCTGTTGCTGCTTTCACCTCTTCTGCACTGAGCTCTACAAACAAAGACGTCGCAGGGCTGGTTTTCTCCACTGTAATCACTTCTGTGCCCGGTTCCCTGGTCTCCTGCAGGGAAGTGGCAGTGAGATGTGCAAGCAAAGGAGCCGGGGCTTCAGAGAACACCTCCTGTAGCTCTGTGGTCGACAGACCTGCAGGAGCCACGGCCGCCTCTTCCATGCTCTCAGGGATTTCTTCCTTCTCCACATGCACAATGTCGGAATTAGAAGAGTTGTTCTCACTCTTCTCTCCAGCTCCATTGCTATCCAAACTTTTGACTTCTTCAGGATCCATTGCAATCTGCTGCCAGGACTCGGGACCTAAGGACACTGGTAGACTTTCTGTGTGCCAACTCTGGCTGGCTGACAGTGAGACGGGTAAACTCTCTGACTGCCAGGAAGTGGTCACAGTTGGAGATTCTGGAGGACTGACTTGTCCAGAGTTGTCACTGGGCAGGATGTAAATGTCATTGCTGTCTTCAGCAATGACTCCAGGGTACTCCTCTTCCTCTGACTCAAGGCTGAAAACAGTGCCCTGGAAAAGAAGGAGGAGCATCAATACAAAGAAGAAGTATGCTTAAAAATTTGCATCTAGGGAGTAGGGGAAAGTCTATCCAAAGTTCCAGTAATACAAAGTTTACACTTAAATGGTTTTCTAGATAGAACACAATTATGTACATACCAATGGAGAAGAATTTTTAAGACTACAGTACTCGAACCCATTTTCTTAAAGTTAAAAAATCAGTCAGTCCCTATTCAGTTCACTTTCTATATACACTTATTACAAAATAGCACAGAAAAACAGCAAGAACTTGTCAAGGAATTTTTCACTTCATAGGGTACCAATTTCAAATGTTATACTGTGATCCAAATGCTATTAAGTGTTCAGATGAGGAAATGACTTTCTTCATTGGTGGACAAAGAAGGTGGGCTGGGAGATCACAGTGAAATGCATTTTGCTGTCAGGTGCCATCAAGTGAAGTATGACTCACAGCAAGCCTATGAACCACAGATCTGAGCTCTGTCCTATCCTGTGCCAACTTCACAATCTATGACACACTCGAATCCATGCTGTAGTCACCATGTCAGTCCCCCTAGTTGAGGGTCTTCCTCTTCTTTGTCGTCCCTCTACCTTTCCAAGCATGATGTCCTTCTCCGAGGAATAGCTGAGTCTCCTAGCAACATGCCAAAGTAAGCGAGATGAAGCTTCCCCATCCTTGTCTCCAAGAAGCACTCTGGTTTCACTTTCTCCAAGACATACCTGTTTATTCTTTTGGAAGCCAATGGGATATTCAATACTGTCCTCCAACACCACAACTCAAAGGCATAATTTTTTTTTTGTAATCCTTATTCATAGTCCAGATCTCAGATGCATAGCAAGTGATCAAAAAGACCAGTCAGAATGGTCTGAGATTCATGGAGCAAACTGAATTTAAACTGGACATCTGAAGAATGAGTAAGTTTTTTATAAGAAAAGATTCTGAACAATTCAAGCAAAAGAACAGAGACATAAAAGAGGAAAAGAGCACCTAATCAAGTTGACAGCTATGGAATCATACTCAAGAGCAGAATGGCCTTTGTCCTTGGTCTGTTCTTTGAGCTGTGCCAACATTTAAGACTAATAAGTGGAGACTGAAGAATCCAAGAGGGACTGGTAGGAATTTGATGCTGACTAAGTGTCATGAGCCAGGGTGTAATCGGTCACAGCCACAGAGTGACACTGATGCAAGCCGTCAACTCTCAGGCTCAGCTGGAACTCCCTGGTTTGGAAGCTCTCCTGGCAGGGCAGCATGTCCCAGTGGACTGAGCTCTTTCAGACCTCTTGTCCTGTACCCCCCTTTTTAAGATTCTGCTTATATCCCTTTATCTGTTACATTAAAGCTGTTATTGCAAGAAGGCTGTTTCTAGTCAATTACAGAACTCAACACTGATGTTAGCTGGTGTAAATGGAGGTATGTGGCCTGCTCCCGAGCTTGCAGCAGGTACAAGCTGATCCAGCCTCAGTGGCTAGGCTCAGAAAGGATTGTGCTCTTTCAGTCACCAGTGCAGACATGGCCAAGCCCAAGAAGCACATCACACACAACCAATCCCAAAAATGGCACGGAATGGCACCAAGAGATGTGCAGACTGCACCATGTAATTCGACAACATTCCTATCATGTCAAAAAGAAACTGCACTGTTTAGTTACTGTTGTTATCTACCATCCAGTTGAACCTGTGCCATAGCTAACCTTCCAACCTTAAAGGAAGAGACTGCCCATCTTTCTCCCATGGAGAAGGTGGTGGATTTGAACCATATCCCTTTGGGTTGACAACACAACTCAGCTACCAGAGTTCCCTTACACTATTTAGTAGCCACCCCTGATCCCCTTACTCTGGTCTCATCCTGGACCCTGGCAGCTACTAATCTGCTTGCTTTCTCTATCATCTGCCCTCTTGGGAAATTTCATATAAATGGAATAATACAATAGATGGCCTTTCGTTCTGGCTTCTTGGCCTTAGAACTGGTTTTTTTGGGGGTTGGGGTATTTTTTTTTCTTTCCCCTCCCTTTAGCACACAGTTTTAAAAGTTACTTCACGCTGCAGCATTCATCACTGCTTCATTTTCCTTATGGCAGAGCAGGATTCCACTGTGTGGATATATACTGCAACCTGTGAGAGCTGTAACTCTTTGTATGAGAACGCTTTGCTTTTCCCATGTATGATAAATTGTGTTCCTTTGGCAGGAAGCAGTCTTAATATTTTCTTATTGCAGAAGATTTCAAAGGGCAGCTTAAGAAGATAAAGCAAAGAATTATAATAAAATGAGCAAAGAGCTGGAATTTGAAAACCAGAAAGGAAAACTCTCAGCATTGTTCAAACTGAAACAACTGAAAAATAAATTCAAATCTTGAGTTTTAACACTGAATGAATCTATTAGTAAAATATTAAGTGATACAGGAAGCATCAAAAGACGATGAAAAAACACAAAGAATCACTGTGCCAAAAAGAAATGGTCGACACAGAACCACTTCAGGAAGTGGCGTATGATCAAGAACCAATGGTAATGAAAGAAGAGACACAAACCACAGTGTAATCAATGGCAAAAAATAAGGCTCCAGGAATTGACAGAACAGGAATTGGGGATTTCAACAGACAGAAGCAGTCCTGGATGTACTTGCTAGTCCACACCAAGAAATTTGTAAGGCAGCTACCTGGTCAAATGCCCAAGGGAGACAGTCATATTTGTTCAAATTAAAAAAAAGGTGATTCAACAGAATGTGGAAATTATCAAACATCTCATTAATATGATATGCAAATGCAATCTTGCTGAAGATTATTCTTAAAAAACCAAAACCAGCTAGAACAGTACATAGTCATGGAATTGCCAGAAATTGACTTGACTTAAAAGAGATCATGGACTAGGGATATCATTGCTGATGCCAGATAGATCTTGATTGAAAGACAACACCAGAAAGAGGTTTACTTCTTTCATTGTCTGTGCAATAGACAGTATGTTATGGAAAACATTGCAAAGAAAGGGAATTCCAGAAAACTCTCTTATGCTCATTCAAAATTTGTACATAGACCAGAAGCAGCCACTGAGATAATGGATATGGCAAGTTTTAAATTAAGGAAGTGAGTGTCAGGGTTGCATTCGTCTCCATACTTATTCCATTTCTATGTTGAGCAAATGATTCAAGGAACTGGACTATATGAAGAGGAATGTGGCATGGTGGCTGGAGAAGACTAATCAACAACCTGCATTATGCAGATGACACAACCTTGTTTACAGAGAGTGAAAAAGACTTGAAGTAGTTAAGAAGATGATCAAAGACTTCAATATGGGTTCCATCTCCCCATCAAGAAAACAAAAATCCTCACAACTGGATCAATAGGCAACATCATGGCAGATTGAGTAAAGACTGAAGTTGTCAATAATTTCATTTAACATGGATCCATAAACAACACCGGTAATAGCAGCAGTTAAGAAATCCAAAGATGTGTTGCACTGGGAAAATCTATCAAGAACTTATTTAAAGTGCTAAAGAGCAAGTATGTTAGCTAGAAGACAAGGGTGCACTTGACTAGCCATGGTATTTTCAATTGTTTTCTAAGCATGTGAAAACTGGACAATGAATACAGAAAGGACTGATGGCTTTGAATTGCAGTGCTGATAAAGAACACTGGATATACCATGGATTGCCAAAAGAACAAACAAATCTATTCCTGAAGGGAATGCAACTAGGTTGCCCCTTATAGGCAAGGTGGTGACACTTCAGGCAATATCAAGAAAGGCCTGGCCTTGGAAAAAGACCTCAAGCTGAGAAAAGCAGAGGGTAAGTGAAAGAAAGACCCTCAATGAGATAGAGTGATTACAATAACAGGCTTGGATTTGATGAAGGTTGTTAGGAATGGGCAGGACAGGATAGGGCAAAGTTCAGATCTGTTGTTCACAGGATTAACTGTGAGTTATAGGCAACACAGTCATGTCTAAAACAACAATTAGTGGAAAATACTTTGAGTTTATCTTCCATGATAGGGTTCCTTCTTATATAGGTTCTGACTTCCACAAGTTTCACTGTAATATATTTTGTTTACTCATTCATCAGATGATGTACATTTGAGTTGTTTGCACTTTGGTTGTTATTAAATTAAAATTCTTGTAACAAGATTTTGTGTGAACAAGTCTCCAATTCTCTTGGGCATATAAATCAGGGAGCAGAATTACTGACTTAAATGACAAATTACCAAACTACTTCTGAAATAGCTGCATCATTTTACATTCAACCAACAATGTATGTGAGTTCCAAGTTTTCCACACCCTCAAAAATGCTTGTCCCCATCAACAAATGAATGGATATAGAAGCTCTGGTATATTCGTGCAATGGAATGCCATGCAGCACTGAAAAACAAGGAACTCATGAAATATGCAAAATGGATGACCCTGGAGGACATTATGCTGAGTGAAATATCTCAGTCACAAAGGGACAAATCTTGCGTAGGCCACTGTAGCAAAATGGGACTGACATCAGGCTTGAGGGAAGACAGAAAAGGAGGGGAAGAATGACCTATATTGCATTGAAGCAGATGAGAGAGAGAACTGTTTAAAAGAGATACATGAATGGGTATTCTTGTTATTACACAATTCCAGAGTGAAGGCTGCATAGTGGAGTGGTCTTGGAGGAAGGGATTGCATAACAATGAACAAGTTTTTAATTTTCTTTTCAAGAAGAGTGAATTGGGGGAAGGGAGTGGGCAGGGAGAAAAGTGAAACAATGAATGACTGGAAACCGTAAGTCTCCATAACCTTTCATTTAAATTAATTTTAAAAAATGTAAAAAAAAATAGCTGTAATTGTTTATTTTCATAGCCATCTTAACGGGTGTAAAGTGGTATTATGGTCTTGATATGCAGTTCTTTAATATTTGAATGTTGAATATTTTCTCATATGATTAATGTCCATTAGTATACCTCCTTTGTAGAACTGTCTACTCAAATCTTTTGCTGATTTAAAAACTGACTTAGTGGTCCTTTTATTTTTGAACTGTAAGT